GACAATGGAATCCAAGGCCACCCTGAAGAGGAACAGAAAGAGGGATCACAGAACAGCAGCTTGAAGGAACCAGGGAGATGGTGGACAACCAGGCAGGCCATTCCAGCAGACACCTGATGCTGCCAGGTCCTGGAGGTATTTGCCTGTGGCCTCTGCTTAAGCCAAGACCTCAGAGCAGTACTCCTCCTCACAGTTCCTAAGTGACTTGGAAATGGCTGAAGCCGGAAGGTGTTAAACTGTTCCTTGTGTTTCCTAACTTCAGTGGTGGTGGATTCGCAAATAATTCTTAATATTAAATAAAGATAATTAATAATGCAAAAATGTGTTCTGATTAAAAGTTGAAGTAGAGAAAGGCAAAACAAGTTAATTTGGATCCCACCTTCATCACCATCGCTGTCCCAGAGAGGGCACACAGCAGTCTTCTGAAGTGTCCATATCTAACAACTTAGGAAGAAACCCGAATCCAGCCTTCCGCTTCTCTGCACTGATTTATGCTAAAGCGTAGCTCTGACGCTAAGGGCGCCCTTGTGTTTTGTTTTCTCTTTTCTTTTTGCAGTTGTTCTTAAGGCCATTCATTTTGAGGACCCCGTGGGAGTGAGGTGACTGTCACCTGTTACAGGGTGTGCACATTCTTAGGACCTTTGGACATCGTATTATAATACAGCACCCCAATGCTCTTCCCAACCCCAACTGCCAAATAGTTTCACCATGATTGCTAGCAGATCCACTTATCAAATTAGTTAGACTATTGCCAGACAGAAATCAAACCCCCAAAGACAGTGGGCTCCAAGAGAGAGGCTTGGTAAAAATCCTACCAAGTGCCAGTCTCAGGTGTCTGGGGCTGGGGCGGGCTCCCAAGTCTTGAACACCTTAGTGATGAGAAAGACTTTCAAAAGAAGCTGAGCTGTGTGTGTGTGTTGGGGCGTGGGGTGCAAACGAATCAGTGGGTAAAGGTTCTTGTTACCAATTCTGACAACAAGGGTTCAACTTCTGGGTCCACACGGTGGAAGGGGAGAATCAGCTCCCACAAGTTGTCCTCTGACCTCCCCACGTGTGCCATGGCACACGTGTGGACACACACACACACACACACACACACACACACACACACACACACACCTTAATAAACAAATAAGTAAATAAATAAATAAATAAATGTAATTTAAATTAATTTTTTAAATGGGGTTCCAGAGATGGCTCGACACTTAGGGGCGCTTTCTGCTCTCCCAGGGTGCCCAAGTTCAGTTCCCAGCACCCACATTAGGTGACTCCTAACCACCTGTAACTCGAGCTCCAGGGCATCCAGCGCCCTCTTCTGACTCCTCCAGCACCTGCATTCACATGCATATATACCTCTCACACAGACAGATACAAATTCACAGAATCAAAACTAAAATAAATGTTTTGTTTTTTTAATGAGCTTTGCAAAAGGCACAGAAAGGGAAACAGTTGGGCACTCATGGACTCCAGAGTCCAGTCTTCAAAGCTGTTTTGTGCTGCCTACACTGGGGAAGGCTGTGTGTGTGTGTGTGTGTAAGTGTGTGTGTGTATGTATGTATGTATGTATGTGCATGTTTGTGTGTGAACTTGTTTTTACTTTTAGTCCATCATGGACTAACACTTCTTTCCAATAAAAATAAATAGAACAATTAACCAAATAACAAAGACAAATAAAAGACATGCCTAACTTTTTATTACATGGAACAAATTATGTTTCATTAAAAATTAATATAGAGCCACATTGAATGGCTGTAATTTTCCAAATGCTCATTTTTAGCTTCTGTCCTTGTCTATCCCCTAATGAATCATAAACAGGTCTCAGACTGGCACGAGTTTGCCAGCCACACTTCAGATGACTCTGTCCCTGAAGAGTGTGGCTTGTGAGTCTGCATACAGGTGTCTGGCCTATGAAAGACAGCCCCAGAGGGACAATCAGATGGGTGGCCTCGAGAACGTCAGGACAGCTGGTCTGTCAGTTTCTCCTAAAATACAGGAGTGTCAAAAACATCTCTCAACACAGCTCACAGGGACAGCCAAACAACACAGCAGAGAAGCGCAAGGCCCGGCTTCGGCGTGAGGAGCCGGTCAGGCTGAGCACCGTGCACTTGCTCAGACCAGTACAGCTGCTGGGAAAGGCATCCAAAGCAAACACAGCTCTCCCCGCAGCAGACTCAACAGAGCAAAACCAACACCCAGAAATCAATGAGATGACCCAGTTCATCCTGTTACCCAGCCCACTCGCTATCTTCAAACCCAGGATCCCAAATACAATAACAAATGAGTCTATTAACTAGGACAGGCTTCTAAAGCCAAAACCCAGAAACTCATTCTTAGAAACCAACGCAATTCCCAGAATTTTCCAGGTCAGCTACAAGAAAGAGCTATGAGCCTCTCTTCTCAATTGAACTAAATCTCACCCATGTCTAATTGCGGTGTGCAAAGCTAAATCCTTTTTCCTTTCTGCACGGCCAGCCTGCCTCCTGAAGTGTCTAAGCCAGGGGCGTCTCAGAGGGAGCAGGGCAGACAGTGCAGTCCAGTTGAAGGAAACATGAAGTCTGAAGCCAGCACATAAGGGTTTAGGAGCCATCTGCCAGCTGGGTGATCTAGACAATCTCAGCTTCAGCTCCTCCGTCCATAAAACAAGATGAAGGGCAGCCACCTCCATAGAAACACAGCTGAAAATGTTTAGCCATCTTCAAAGAAAAGCTCCGCAGCTGTGAGTTCTGACTACAGAGAAGTAAGCTAGAAGAGATGTTTCAACCACGCCATACTGAAACTGTCCTTTACAGTCTACTTCTTTACATTCAAATCACTGTTACATGTCACTCATCTTCAGCTCCTAGCACCATTACCTGTTAGAACAGGTAAGACCATGCCTGCCTGGCAACTTGGGAAAACGACACTCAAGGGATCTATTGAGAGAATGTGAGCGGTAACAGAGACCATTTGACAGTTCATGGGACACTTAGAAGGTGCTAACAGGTTCCATCAGGTAAGTCTGTGGCTTTTCTCAAGTTAGCGCCCAGTGTGGCACCTTTTGCCCTCATTAACAGGAAGTCGCCGCTCTGAGTTTGAGTGGTTTGTTTTGTTCAGTATTTGGGCAGCTTTGCTGTGGCTGCATCCCTGTGAAATGAAAATGGGACACTACCTACCCTGTGCTGTGCTCTGACATATTCTTATAAACATCCTTGCTACTGCAGGTGAGCCATGGGACCTGGCTTAGCTCCAACGCTGTGGACTTGGGCCGATGAACCACTCTGAGCTTATCTCTTCAGCTGTAGTCAAAGTCTAATTGCTGCCCTGCCTGCCTCACAGATATAGAAATGAAGACACAAATGACTGTGTAAAGAGAAATTTGGAAATAACTTAAGATATTCAATTTGCATATCATTAAATTGTGATATATAACAGATAATATTAATTATTATTCCCATTTTTCTTGCCGAAGAAAGACAATTTTATAGGATTCTCTTGCCATCTACCAAGCATGACAGTTTTGGTTTTAATTATTTTTTAAATATAGAAGACAGATTTCATAAATCTTAAAAAAAAAAAAAAAAAAAAACCTAAACCAAAAGCTATGCAAGTTTTGGTAAGTGTTTCTGGAAAATATTGGGGCTCTCATGCCTAGTCTATCTATGTGTGTTTGTACCTACTTTATACTGTATGTACCTGCATTTTCAGTGTAGACAGAATCCTGCAGAATCCTGAGTCCGATCAAGAGAAGGTCCATTAAAAGGCCTGGCACTACATTGTCGTCTGTTCCTGGGAAGAATGACGAAATACAGTCCTTGACTTTTAAAAGACATTATTAAGGCCCTGGATAAACATGTGGTCATTTTCAATTAAAATTGAGTCAAAGAGAGTTTGAATAAAAAAAATGTGTTGCCAATATTCCCCTTTAATTACATTATTAAACCTCCAAAAAAATGTAACTAAAATTTAACCAGACCTGGTCACATTTAAAGAAAATGGCAAGACAAGGAATGTGCTTGCTGGGAAACATATGGGTTTCTCTGGATGGTAGCCAGGCGGCAGCTAAGCCACACCAATAAAGCCACTAGGATCCGTGCGAAGTTCCATATCTCTCCATCATAAATCTACACACAAACGAAAATTGAGATGCATGAAGCTTGGGAGGCACCATTTCATGCCAGGAAAAACGTAAGTATTGCTTTAGAGCAGTGGTTTTCAACCTTCCTAACACTGTGACCCTTTAATACAGTTCCTCACGTTGGGGTGACCCCCCAACCATAAAATTATTTCACTGATACTTCCTAAGTGTCATTTTGCTACTGTTATGAATCCTAATGTAAATATCTAATATGCCACCTCAAGGGGGCTGTGACCCACAGGTTGAGAACCACTGCTTTATAGCAAGGCCTATCTTTGAACTGTCCACGACTCACTGGGGTCCTACAGCATGGGTGTTTTTTATTCTTTCACCATTTGTACCACGAGCACTCATCCAGAAATGAGTTCTTCACTGCACTCTGGCAGCACAGACCTGAAACTCCCCAAGCTGATAGATACTTTGAAAACTTGGGTGTGAAAACTCTAACCTCTGGAGCACCTGAGGTGAGAAACTTGTAAGAACAATAACCAAAATCAAAGAAAGGAAGAAAGAAGAAAAAACCCACCCATCTTCAGAATCCTCTTCATCAGCCACAGAGCAAAGTAGTTCATCTGTGCTCAATGCTGAAGCACCATAATTATGAGGCTTTCTTCATTTGCTCTGTTTTTCCTGACAGCTGGAGTTTATATGTCCTCAGAGTGTAAGTATCTCCTGCCATGTGTGAGTGAATTTCTAGTGATTGCATTGTTACACTGTAAACAGTTTTTTCCTGTGACCTGTTTTAGCTTATACAACTGCCGGCCAGGAAAAGTATAGTAACTAACTATTGGGTAGCGCTGCTGTTTTATTGGTCTTGGAAAAGGGTCTAGTGATAATGGTGCTTGCTATCAGAAGAATTAGATGCCAGTTGCTGGATCACGTGAAGTCTTTCGGCTCACTGTATTACAGGTTTCCATACTGAAATTATCGGAGGGAGAGAAGTACAGCCCCACTCCAGGCCGTTCATGGCTTCCATCCAGTACCGCGGCAGTCATATTTGTGGAGGAGTCCTGATCCATCCACAGTGGGTGCTGACAGCAGCCCACTGCTACAACTGGTGAGTCCCTCATGCTTTTCCATGCATGTGCTTCTCTGTGACTGGGAAGAGCAACACACACAGGATGAAGTTTAATCAATGAACTAAGTGCAGCCAGATTAGCAACAGCGATAAAAGAGAACAAATAAAAAACAATCTACTCTAGTAAGTTTTTTAGACTGTATGTATTGTTTGTCTCCTGAATGATCCACGTAATGTTCAACACGTTGATCTCTGGAATGTTCCATGTAATGCTCAGTGGCCCACGAGCAACTGAAATTGCTGAAAGGAAGCCTGAGCACAAGGGTAGGTTACTGTATCCTGCCTGTTTCATTGGGTTTTTTAGATTTGGGGTTTTTATTTAGGTGTTTCAGAATCTTTGACATATTTAGTAAGTGCAGATATATTGCAGACGACACTGTTAGTGTGTGTATTGACAATGGAGTGGCAGATCCTTTAGTTCTTCAGCTTTATGCTTTACCCCAGACATCTGAGGCCCATACTTTGGGAATCACAACAAAAAGAGACAGCACCTTCCCTGGGCAGAAAACAATTATAGAGGGTTTATAAAAAGTGACGCACAGCAGGTTATTGGGGGTGGGAATATTTAAAGGGAAGCTTTTCTGACCGTGGATGACAACCCCCCAGGTCGCTTTCAGCTTAAGATGGAGTATAAAATCTGTCTTGGGATGCGGGGAAGACAGCCAGTAGAGAGCTGATGGTGTCTGCTTGAGTTTTCTGATTTTGTTTCCTCTGTTTGCGTTATTGCTTCTTTAAGCTTCTTGCCTGGATCCCTGATCACCTTCTCTTTTCCTGCCAACAGTACAGCTCTTCACTGAAGAACATGTCTTAGGGGCTGGAAAAATGGCTCCGTGCTTAAGAGCACTTGTTGGTCTTGCAGAGGACCGAGTTTGATTCCCAGCACCCACGTGGTGGTTCACAACCATCAGTTAACTCTAGTTCCAGGGATCCAGTGCCCTCTTCTGATCTCTGCAGGCACCAAGCGTGCATGTGGTGCACAGACACACATGCAGGCAAAGTAGACACACATAAAATAAAATGAATAGATCTAATTTTAAAAAAAGGTAGCTGGGCATGGTGGCACACACTTTTAATCCCAGTACTCAGGAGGCAGAGGCAGGCAAGCATATCTGTGTGAGTTCAAGGCCAGGCTGATCTACATACTGAGCTCCAGACCAGCCAGGAATAGATGGACACTGTCTCAAAAAAACAAAAACAAACAAACAAACAACAACAACAACAAAAACACCATAGCTTCCAAAGCTTGCTCTTTAGACATCAACAGCATCAAACAGAACAACTGAACTGACTTGATTCTCCCTGCTTTGGGGATGTGGTCTGTTTGCCGGATTTTAACGGAACCATGCCGGAAGATCCAGAGCTTGAAAATGGGGAAAAGACACCGACCACTTCTATTTGTAAAGAGCAAGTTGCTGGAATCCTATTTCATATCCTTGCTCAGCCATGCGCCCCCTCACTTCTGTCCTGCTTCCCACATCACGAGAAAATTTCATTCAAGGTGAAGTTTGCTCCTCTCCAAATATGCTTATGGGGCTCACTCAGGCCCGACAGACAAGGAGCTGAATGTATAAAAGTTCAATAAATGTTGGTGGGAAAGGGAAGCCAAGTAGAGGATTTGCGTTGGAGGCTAAACGTGAAACATGGTGCATGGCGTGTGAAATCCCACCCAGCAGGAAGGTAGATAATGTTCAAAGTTTTAAAATTCGTCTAATGGATTTAACTCAAGAAAATTATACCCCAAATTTGAGGAAGCAGATTGTTTAAAATAATAATAATAATAATAATAATAATAGGAGGGAAAAGGGGAAGATGGAGGGAAGGATGGGAGGGGAGGAAAGAGAACTGAAGAGAGGTCTTGGAGTATTAAAAAAGGTCTTAGAGCCAGGCAGTGGTGGCGCACGCCTTTAATCCCAGCACTCAGGAGGCAGAGCCAGGTGGATCTCTGTGAGTTTGAGGCCAGCCTGGTCTACAGAGCGAGGCACCAAGACAGGCACCAAAACTACATGGAAACCCTGTCTTGAAAAAAAAACAACGAAAAGAAAAAAAGGTCTTAGAGTTTAAAAAAAAAATTCTTGCTAAATATCATTTTAAATGGCTGGCATATAAACGACTCTGAAATATGTGGATCAAATTTCCTCCAGGGGACATTTGGGTGTAAAAATGTAGGCAGATCAGTGCCTGGAAAAATATTAAGCCTTATGAAATTCAAAATATTTGTGGAACAGTTCAATGGTGGCTTCCCACAAATGTGCTCACAAGGCTCCTGAGGGAACAGTGTACTAAACCAGCCCTCCCTTTCAGCAGTGACAAAGTGAGCCAGATTTGGGAGGAAGGCTCTCTCTCTCTCTCTCTCTCTCTCTCTCTCTCTCTCTCTCTCTCCCTCGCCACGCATCTACTCCGTTCCTCCTTAGTGCCTTGGCGGTTATCCCATCAGCTATAAAAGGAAATGGATGCCAGGTATGGTGGCACTCTGTAGGCCGGGGCAGGAGGGACCGCTAGTTTGAGACTAGCCTGAAATACCTAGCAAGAGCCTGTCTACCAAGAAAGAAAGAAAAGTCGAGGAAATAGATTTTTTAAAAAAATACTCTTGCATTGTGTACTTTTCAATGTTTTCAATTATCAGAAGCAAAACTCTTGCCCGTTTGTTATCCACTCTCCTCGCCCCCAAGCCCCTCCGTCTCACCTGCCTAAGCAAGTTATTAAATGGAACCCTCCAGGGCCTCTTTCACACACTGTACTCCATCAAGCTCCAGAGGCAAACCAATGGAAATGGTTTTTGTTTTGTTTTGGGGGTGCTGGGGAATTGAACCCGAGGCCTTGCGCCTGCTAGGTAAGTACTCTCGTACCACTGAGTGACATCCCCAGCCCAAACCACAAGTTCTAATCCTGCCTGGATGTACACCCCACAGCCTCCACCTAATGCATTCTTAGGTTTAATTTACCGGAGCCTCAACTTCCTAGGCTGTAAAATGAGAGTCATCTTTACACCACCTCACTAAGCTGCTGCTTCAGGGAAGGACACAAATGATAAGCATAGCACAGAACACACGACCTTAGCACACGTTACGGAGTATTGCTATATTGTCATTGCAGCCTGCCATGGTAATTAATAACCAAGCAATAAACACGATGGCCCACTTGTGTGGATGGGATGGGACTGGGAATGTTTTGCTTCCTAACAGCCAGCAACTTCTCTCTGTCTGAGCCAAGAGAGAGTCCACGAAATAGGAACCCTGCCTTTGATGCCAGACCTCAGGAGCGGTTCTAAGCAGGGACTCTGCTTAGCATCAGGATGGGCTGGCCAAAGGAGCAAGATGCGAGGGGATCTTGATACAAGGCCAGAGAGTCCAGGGAAGAGCACTAGACTTGGGTCATGAACCCTGAGTTTGGGTCCTGAATCCTCTATGTTGAGATGGGTCACTTTGAACCAGTCAGAGGACTGAGGAGGAACATGCAGCCCAGTGACTTTAAAACTGAGGAGGGCTCTGTTGGCCTCCACCAAGGCAGTATTGACTGCCATCTTCAGCAGACTGTGAAAGAAATGTATTACAGGCAATACCGTGATTCTAGTCCACATGTAATTCCGTTACAGGGCAATCTGGGCGGGACTCAGGAAACTGCATACAAGTACCTCCAGATGCTTCAAGCCACTCTTAGAAAAGCCCTGTGGTGTGCAAATGAATGGCCCTGGTATTACTGCTTCTCTTCTGTGTGGATTCAGATCTAGACTCAGATAAAGAGGTGGAGTCCAGTGAGACCGCTTAATAAGTAAAGGCACTTAGCAAGCCCGGGCCCCTGAACTCTATCCCTGGGACCAGCACGGTGGAAGGAGAGAGCCGACTCCTGAAAGTTGTTCTCTGACCTCCATGCACACACCACAGGACATAGACACACAATGTATGTGTGTGCATGTGTGCGTGCTGCGTGTGTGTGTGTGTGTGTGTGTGTGTGTGTGTGTGTTATAAGAAAAAGATTTTAAAGAGGTAGAATCCTAGAACTCAGGCAATTTCATTTACTCCCTGAGCAGAACACTTGACCATGATGGAACAGATTGCAATTGAAAATTCAGAGAGCACATTGATCTGCATGGGTTTATTAGCCTGCGGCAGCGGAGAGAAAAATAACGAAAACATTTCAAAGTCCGTAGCTAGTGGAGGAACTGGGTGAAAAACGAATGAGCACTAGAAATCTCAGCCTTCACCCTTCATCGGAGTCTACCTTCCCGGGAGGTGTTTGTCCCTCACAGTTGTCCTTTGTTTACAGACACACCCACTTTGCTGTGATCCTGGGGACTTTGTATCCTCCTCGCCCTCCAGAGCTTTGGGTTTAGTGGGCATGTTGGATTTGAATTTGAATCAGTCCAAAGAAATCTAATCCAATCCCCTGAGAAATTCCATCTGCATTCTGATTTCGAAATAGGCAAACTTTTCAGCACATAGGGCTGGAATTCCTAAAATAAGCTCTTTGGGTAGAAACTGAGCAGTGATTCCAGGCAGGCAGTCACAGGTCGGCCCCAAGCAGACTCTCCCCGCGGCAGTCACGGGCACATCCTCTGAACCTGACGCAGCCGCTCATTTTATTCGCTTTACACTCCTGTGCCCTTTTCAATTCTTAAGAACACAAATCCATGTGTATACGTGTATGTGTTTCTGTTATATCCTGCCTTGATCTCATTTTCCAGTAGCAAAGTTGGAGTTTTATCAGGAATAAAAACAATTCTTTTTTTTGGTTTTTAAGACTTTTCTATGGACCCAGTTTGTAATAATCCTGCCTCTGCCTCCCATGATGGGAACTGCGCTGACATGTATTTCTTCCTCTTCTTTGTTCTTTTTTCCTTGTTTTTGTTGTTGGTTTGGTTGGGTTTTTTTGGTGTGTGTGGGCAGCTCTCTACAACTGAGCTACATTCATCTCTAGGTCATTTTTAGCATATCCTTGTTCTAAGAAATTATTTGAAATGGCTTTCATAAATACACTACAACAGGAAATATCTATATTCTACAAATGGTTCCAACATGCAGCCGAAACTCCCCCAAACAAAATCATTTCTATTTCCATCACTGGCTATGAATGTACTCATGTATATTTGGTTGATGTGAAATAGGCCCATGCCTCCTAAAATGAATCTCCCCAGACAGATAAGCCAGTGGGTAGCTGAGTCCTCACCTTATTCATTTAAACCCCTATCATTGTTGGAAAGATGCAACAGCTCGGCCGGGTGGTGTTGGCGCACGCCTTCCTTTAATCCCAGCACTCAGGAGGCAGAGCCAGGCGGATCTCTGTGAGTTCGAGGCCAGCCTGGGCTACAGAGTGAGATACAGGACAGGCACCAAAACTACACAGAGAAACCTTGTCTCGAAAACCCAAAAAGAAAAAAAGATGCAACAGGTCTAGAAAGGAAGCACACTGACAGAGAGGCCAGTGACTTGTGATGAGATTCACTGGGGCCTCCATCGCTCTACCTGGCCCTACGCAGGTCTCCTTGGAGTCTCTCCTTGGTCTTTCATGCATGTGACATCCATCATCTCCCACTCTGACTGGTGGGTTTGGACATCATGGTGTTACCTTCGGTTTCTTTGCTCTTGTAGGTTTCCCAGAGGCCACAGTCCCACCGTGGTTTTAGGAGCACATTCTCTTTCAAAGAATGAGCCCACGAAACAAACATTCGAGATTAAAAAATTCATCCCATTCTCAAGATCTCCGTCAGGTTACTCATCACACGATATCATGCTAATAAAGGTGAGTGGATTTGCCTCCCTCGGTCTCCTCAGTATTTGCATACAGGATCACTCAGTTAATTAACTACGTGAAAGCATTCTGGTAGCACCCTCCCCGTGTTTGAGGTAACTGTGATAGTCTATGATGGCCCACGTTAGCTCACGTACTCCCCTGAAAGAAAAACAAAAGCCACAAATGCATTAGAGCTATGTTTATATGAGAGAAATCAAGAGTACTGCTCACAATGCAGAAGAGCAACATGTCAGCAGCCCCAAGGATCCACAGGAAATGCTTTTCCCCCAATGCTTTTCCCATTAGCAACTGAAAACTACCACAGTCATTTATGTCACAGAGCCAACCAAGTGACCTCAGGGAATCAGAAAGAAGCTACAACTTAGTCTAGACCATACTTTGTCCAGTCCAAATGTAGTCTAGCCCGTACTCAAGGGCCCTCCCCAGCAGGAAGCAGCCCAGCCCACAAAGTCACGACCTATACATGGCGTTCCACAGAAAACCATCCAATACAGGGCAAAGGCCAGTTTGCTCAAGACTGGGTGGAACTCCTACTCTGTATATGGTCCCGTCCCCAAACATCAGTGAGCTCCATGGAGAATGGAAAGCACATTCAGATAAAACAATAGCCAAAAAATGCAGCTGCAGACCATCATCAACGTACATTCGAGAGGAAGAGACGCCTTCCTGAGGCAGAGGGACCACACATCCAATGCACGGTCAAATGGGGTCTAATTGCAGGAAACCACTGGGGAGGAATAATTTACTCTTTTTTTTTTTTTTTTTTTAAATCTTTCAGCTTCACACTGCTGCAGAACTCAACAAGCATGTCAAACTGCTTCAACTGCGATCCAAAAACTATCTTAGAGATGGAACCAAATGCCAGGTGACTGGCTGGGGAGCCACCAACCCAGATCAATTAAAATCCTCTGACACCCTGCAAGAAGTCACTGTTAGCATCATAAGCAGAAAGCGCTGCAACAGCCAGAGCTATTACAACCGCAACCCTGTTATAACCAGGGACATGATATGTGCAGGAGATGCCAAAGGCCAAAAGGACTCATGCCAGGTAGGCATCCTCATTCAGAGTGGTATCTCTGACTGGTGACCACGGAACTGCAGTCACTTCCGCATTTTCTGACCCTGCGGGGAGGCATGGAGAGTAGGAGGGCACAATTCTGAAAATTCACTGTCCACTCCTGTAGCGTCCTCTACTCTCGCGTATCTACTAATGTGAACTTCTCCAGCATTTAAGCTGCTTTCATTAAATGCTTGCTCATCAGACAACAGACTGTATCTTTACGGGTGTCCACTGAAGGACATTCCCATCATTAGAAAGTCTATCAGCCCTGAGGTCACAAGTAGAAGATAACTGACCCCCCCCCCAAAAAAAAAGGACCATCTTTTAAAGTGATCATTAGAGGAGACTAAAAGATACATGTGCCAGAAACTCAGAAGTACAGCATATGTTTCTTAAACAACATGGACTTCTAAGACAAAACGCCATCAGTTGCATGGCTTAAAGCCTACAAAAATTTGTTTTTCACTGTTCTGGGAGTTGGAACGTCCAGATAAGGATGGTAGTAAAATCGGTGTCTCATGAGGGGAGCATTCTGCTTCATAGCTTGTCTCTTTAACTTCCTGGCAGAGGTGGGGAGTCTCTAGGGCTTGTTTTGATCAGGGCTTTAACCCCATTCAGGAAAAACCCTGCTGCATGATCTCACAAATCCCTACCTCAACTGGTAACCCTTGGGAGACTGGACTGCTCCACATGATGTAGGGGACACAAACACTCAGACCATAGACTGGCTAACAAAAAGGAACCATTGTTCTCTTTCAGAATCCTTTGTGTACGGAGATGGGGAGAAAACATTTGGTACACATTTTAGATGACTAATAAGTAGCATAGATGGCGTACTGATTTTAAGTTATTCTTACACTGTGGTTATTTATCTACTTATTTTGTGTCTGGGCATATAAATGCATGCCACAGCACACACATGGAGGCCAGAGGACAACTTACGGGAAGTTCCTCCTTCCAGCATGTGGGTCCTAAGGGTGGAACTCAGACCATCAGACTTGGTGACAAACACCCTTACCCACTGAGCTATATCTTGCTGGTCCCAGATTACTAATTTTTAAAAAAGAAGAGTTTAATACTCACACCCTACTAGAGTAAGCCTCACTGGGTCGGTTCATTAAGCCTCCAGAACTTCCCGAGACCACTACCCTCCTAACCAGGTGAGCATCTCTAACTAGCCCTGATGAGGCCCTGCGCTTTGCCATGTGACCGGCAGCCGAGACAGGCACTGGTGAAAGCCAGCTCTTTGACCAAAAGGCCACACAGTCTTCTCTATGACTGCTCCACTTGTGACAGAATCCAGTTCCGTTAGAGTGGGTCCTGTGTAATCACCCAGGGGCAGGTGGTTACACACCCAGTGCCATCTTCAAATGTGTGCTGGTGACAAATAAAAAAATTTAAAAAAAAAAAGGAAAAGATGACGGGAAGCGTAACACAGCTCCACCCATCACACCATTTACCGTGTTCCGGTTTTCTCTTCTGCTGCTCCCCACAACAATCTGATCCCAAGCCCACTGGTGTCAGACTGACACTCACAATTCCGAGGCTTAGTTTATCTCAGTGGATAATTTCAAACTCTAGGTCTACCTGTTCTTTAACTAGCAAAGCTCAGAAGCCACTGATTCCCAACGGGAGGTGTTGACACAGACAGGGGCCAGAGGGACAGAGGCATAAAATGGGCAGAGAGACAAATCCATGGTTATAGGCAGAGATGCAAACACAGGGAGAAGCAGGGATAGACAGACAGACGACAGACAGACAGACAGACAGACAGACGCAGAGGCCTATTCTGAACAAGGGGCTATGCTGGGTACTCTGGGTCACGGAGAAATCAAAGACTCTGTTAGTAACACTAGAAAACAACAGTGCATTTAGGAAACCTCAGCAGCTTCTCACTAAATATCTGCCGGTTTTCCTTTTCCAGGGAGATTCAGGGGGCCCCTTGGTCTGCAAAGGTGTCTTCCATGCCATAGTCTCAGGGGGCCTTAAATGCGGCATTGCCAACAAGCCCGGAATCTACACCCTCTTGACTAAGAAATACCAGAGCTGGATCAAAAGCAAGCTTGCCCCGTCGAGAGCAAAGTGAGATTGCAAACGGTCTTCTTGGATCTGCCAGCCACTTGCTTCTTTTTAGGGGACGTGCTCGAAGATCAACTTCATCTGCAGATGTCGCTGGCTGTAGGAGGACGGTGGGACAGCTCGGGCATATTTCTGTGCCTTAAAAACTCACTTCATTTATTGATGTCTATAGACAGCAATAAATAAATAAATGGCTGAATTTGAGATAAAAAAAATTTAAAAAAGAACCACGATCTTTTCTATGTGTATTAATGATTTGTTTTTACTACGTTCGTTTCATTCTAAATAAAATGTGGAAGTCTGTCTTTGTCTTTATAGTAATATGTGTAGATGAATTTCTAAATGGTCTTAATAAATAAAAAACACAGAACCAGAAATTTGGGTTAAAGCCTGAGAGAAAAATCAGAGGAATGCTGTGGATATCGCTCTATATAAATAAAACACTGATGGCCAGTGACCAGTCAGGAAGTATAGGCGGGACAAGGAGAGAGGAGAATTGAGGGAACAGGAAGAAGGAGGGGGAGACACTGCCAGCCACCACCAGGACAAGCAGCATGTAAAGATGCCGGTAAGCCACGAGCCACGTGGCAAGGTATAGATTTATAAAAATTGATTAATTTAAGATATAAGAACAGTTAGCAAGAAGCCTGTCACGGCCATACAGTTTATAAGTAATATAAGCATCTGAGTGATTATTTTATACGTGGGTTGTGGGACTGTGGGGCTTGGTGGGATCTGGAGAGAAGCCCTCCAGCAACAGAGGAATACAATAAACCATGAGCTAACCTTACCTCACCAACTCCTCAGTTTCCAAAAAGAGCAACTTCCTCCCAGGCTTATATGCCTTGCTATTCTGTCATCTGATTTGCTCTCTGTCTAGCTATATCACTTTCTCTTCCTGGCCAGCTCTGTCGCTTCCTGTCTGTACAGACCTCCAGGTCTCTATGGTTGGTACTGGGATTAAAGGCGTGTGTCACCACACTTGGCTCTGTTCCCTAGTGTGGCCTTGGACACCCAGAGACCCTGCCTGCTAAGGGATAGGATGAAGGGCATGTGCTACCGCTGCCTGACTTCTTTGTTTACTTAAAATGTCTTGCTAGTTCCTCTGATCTCCAGGCAAACTTTATTTATTAAAGCACAAATAAAGTATCAGTACATTTCAGCACAAATAAAATATCACCACAAATGTCCACCCTGCTTCCATCCATTCTCCTCAAAGGGCAATGAGGCATCTCCATGAGGCAATAATGGTACCTCCTCCAACCACTCTCGTGTTGGGATTTCTGCCAACTCATCACATGCTATTAGGATGCTTTTAGTTATTGTAAGAACTTTTAAGGTGCTTTCAATGTGTTAAATGCTTTTTTAAATGAGTGTTTAATTATATGATACAGTATTAACAACTACATATACTCAAATATAACAGATCTTCAGAGTTTATTCATCCTGGAAATTGAAACTTTATACTCAGTGAAGATTAACCTCTCATTTTCCTCATTCCTCATCCCCTACCAACTACCACTCTGCTCTAAGCGTCTGTGAACTTTAGTACTATTGTGAAAATAATAAACAGAAATACAAGCTCAATGCAAAAACTATCACCATGGTATACACAAATATTTGGGTAGTAACTGTTGATTCATGTCATACTCTGTTCCAGAAAGAGTTTAGTTAGATGTGTAAAATACCTGCAACTGAACAAAACACAGAATTAAAAATCAGTGGGAGACGATTAGGGGAGAAAGGGGGAAATGAAAGCAAGAGAGAGGAGGGAAGGGGAGAGGAGGGGAAGGGAGGGGGGAGGGGAGGGGTGCCCCCATGGCACTCTTCTACAATGAGTTTCTGTCCGAACATTTGCTAGGAAGATTCTCATATGGCCTTGTGCTTTGGCCCAGAAAGAACAATAAGTTATATGAATTATGGTGTCAAGGAAATAAAATTAAGTTTCTTGTACAAAACTAAGACTAGACAGAACTGTCTTCCATGATCCTTTTAAGGACACTGTGACAATCTGGACATCATATGTCACATGAGACCCATAAATGTGTGCAATTTTTAGATGCTAATAAAAACGAATATGAAATGAGACAATAAAAATAAAACTTTAAGAGGATTCTCTGCCATGTTTCCCAGACCTCTCCTAACTATATCAGTGTCTAAAACCATGAGATTATTTGTTATGCAGATTGTGTTGACCTTTTGCCCCCAAATTCTGGTTGAATGGACTTAAAAGTAGACCTGGAAGTCAGAAGTATTTTAAAGGAAGTCAGCTAGCCAGGCGTGGTGACGCATGCCTACAATCCCAGCACAAGGCACACTTCAGCAAAAGGAGCAAGAGTTTGAGGCCAGCCTGGACCTCAAAGAAAGTTCTTGTCTAAAAAATAAATAAAAATAAAAACATCAGCTGATTATTATAAGTTGGAAAATCTAGAAGAAACTGGTAATATGTAACCATTATAACATCTTACAAGAAGATGACACTAAGTGGTAGGGATTTTTTTTTAAAAGCATACATACAAATTCTGCATTGTAAACTAGTGATTTATAACCAAGGTTCAAGTCCCTGGAGGACCTTAGCTGTGTTGGGTTGTCAACACTCCCTGATGAGACTTGTGACATTTCTAATTTGAATGGAGGACTCTGGTGGGGAATGAGGAGTTTCTTCCGGCTCAAGAGGGCCGCTTTTAACCTCATCTAGGGATGTTTGTTTCCAGGGGACGGCGCCTTCAAGCTCTCTCACATGCATTTAGAAATGGATGATTTTTGTCTGTTTCTAAGTTTCTTGTCATAGTTCTTGGAAATCATGAATGAATACCGCCCTGTACTAGGGAGGACGACAGGGACTGGGAGATGGCTCAGTGGTAGGAGCCCTTGCTGAGCATAGGTGAGGACCTGAGTTCCCTGGTACACAAATTAAAGCTGGCCAGAGCCTGTGGGCCTGCAATCCCAGCCTCAGAGGGCCAGAGACAAGAGGATCAGTGGGGGTTACGGGCCAGCAGCCTAGCCCAGAACAAACAAACAAAAACCAGTGAGTTCCAGATCCTGTCTCAGGGGAAGAAGTGGAGAGCGATAAAGAGGGCCAGTGAAGTCTTCCCTGACTTCTGTGCGCCTGTGCACATGCCCATACCTGTACACATGCGTACAACACACACACACACACACACACACACACACACACACAGATTTAAGACCCAGAAAATTAAAAAGTGAACTAAGTAAAATTTTAGACCTGCTTTAAAAATGAAACACAGAAGCAAATGTCTTTAGATATCCCAGTTTATATTATCTAGATTCACCAAAAGCATTGAGCATGAAAAAGACTGATTGTTAAACAACTGGGCTATGTTGTATAATGAAAGGAAACATTGTAGACTCTCTGGTCTCACCATTAAAATAATAATAGTTCTGTATCTATTACCTCTAAAACTTGAAACCATATCATCATAAATCTATAACCAAGAAGACTGTGATTTTCCCTTAGCCACTTGATGAAACTCTGGGAAGCTGGCCCTAAAAACTTCAGTCGTGTTTTATTTCAGGCTCCACGCTGCGAGCATCTCCTAACAACGCGTTAGCCCAGAACACACTGGGAATGACGAAGCTCCCTTCAACAACCACGGCGGAGCTGGCAACCCTGTAAAGGGACCAATGGTGTGTTGTGACAAGCCCATTGGCTGTCCACTGTCAAAGGCATCCTTCATCCTTTATGGGAGGGAGTCCCCAACATAGTCTAAAACAATATGTAGTGTTTTAATTTGGTGGGTGTGTCTTTGAACGTTTACACGGTTCTATCTATGGTCTCAAAAGGAGGCTCGGAGCTAACTGGAGGCAAATACTCAGATTTTAAAAGTGCTCTAGGATTTCAGGGAAGAGTGGTTTGCCTGGTCATTTGGAGTCTTCCCACTTCCTTTTCTGGGCCATGGGAGTTTACCACAGATGTAAAAGATGGCCTTGTTTTTGTCCACCCTGCCTCAGTAAAGTGGACAGCACTAACATTGAGTTAAGTCCAAACACAATTCGAAAAATAAACCAATACTGACTCAGATAAGCCATGAATCCAGCCTAGGAGCGGGGAGCAGAAGCCTTCCAACTCTGTGTTCACAATCTCAGCTCATTCTGAAATGATGTGGAGACCAGTGCTTAGAGCATCATTGCTTTAGGAACTATCCAATAAAAGGGAGGCCATTCTCGGTCAATCGGAACAGCTCTCTGCTGAGATTTTCAATGTGGTCCTGGAAACCTGACTGGGCTGGTGAGGGAATGAAGGGGAGACACACAGGAGAGGAGGGGGCAGGACACTGGGGTCAACCTGTCTCAGGACAAAGCATCCAGATGTCTCCCGAGGTTCAGAATCTCCCAGAATGCTAAGACACAGCTCAAGTCCTCAGCATGCTGTGCAGGGAGCACCAAGAGCTTTAGTTCTAACACCTTGACTTCCTGTTGACAAACCCATCTGTCTGCTGCTTTCTTTGGGGGCTCTCTGCTGAGTCATTTGTTACTAATTTCTGACCGAAGCTGTGTTCTTTTTTTTTCTCTCCCTTAGAGCCCTGAAGAGTCTGGTACACAGCAAACAGAAGTTTGTTCTTTAAAAAAAAAAAAAAATTAATGTTCAATTATAGGAGTGGGTTATGTGCATGTGAGTGCAGGTCAGGGGTCAGGTCCCCCTGGAGCCAGAGTTACAGATGGTTATGAGACACCCACCATGGGTCCTGGGAACAGAACTCACACTGTTCTGTTCCCCTTGCCCTCAGAGAATAGGGAGAACCTGGGAGAGATAGCTCACAACTGTTGATATTAATACTAATATCAGCTCACCCAAACAAAGGATGTGGTCCTTTTTAAGAGGAAATAGGGGCTTTGGGCATTGAGTAGGGGGATTGATTATGACCCTTATAGGGAAGGGGTGGCTAGCAGGTCCACATGGGTCCTTTAAGGCTGCCTGGTTCCATCCTGTCTATGGTTTTATAACAGCAGTGGACCCAAGTGTCTTTCTTGTCTGAAACGAAACACTGGTTAGTAAAAAAGAACTGGTTCTCAGGTCTGAGGTTCAGTTTGTCTGGTAACAATCAGTTAACTGAATTGCAAACCCTGCGCGTCACTCATAAGGTCTCCCAGGGAGGAAGGATCACATTCATTCTCTGGTTTTAACCGTACATGTCTGTGCATCTGCCTGTTAAGTCAGTATATGAGGTTTACACTGTGGCTTTTCCTTAGAAGTT